TGTGACATAAAAATGTTATAAAACATAAATATATATTATAAAACTATAAATTAAAAATAATACTACAAAAATAATTTGTTGACAATTATGAGTCATACTGTCACCTCCCTAGTTATGGCGGGGGCTCACCTTCTCATCTCGCGGGGGTAGTACAGACCTTTATCAATGTCAGTCGGCTGGGGTCTGGGTCTGGTGTCTCGGTCTCCTCTGACCACAAATGTCTGGGGACTACTACGACCGGGCGTCACTATCGGGTGTGTCGCCAACTGTACTTACTCTCATAGTTACTCCTAGAGCTAACAGTGTGTGTCAGTGATCACGTGTAAAATACACTAAAGTGTAGTCGCAAAGAAGAACGGGACTGTGACATATGCTGCATTGGGGTGGGGTCCAAAAGCTGCAACAATAACGCTAAGGAGCACACACCTTCAATGTACCAGAATGTTTGTACAGTAACCACAGTGGACAGGTTGTGTTAGTTTGTGAAATTCTGTACCGACGTGAAGTCGGGTCCTATTACAAGTCCCAAAAGAGCGCTCGCTCACAGCCGCTCGCTATCCTAATATACTAACTAAAACCGAACGTCTTTTACTGCTCGGCCTTCACTTCCCTTGCAACGATTCTCCTCAGCTATGACTTCTTCTTCAATGTTGTGCTCCAGGGAAGTATCACTTCTGCTCCATCCACACGGAGGATTCATGGCAAGGACAACGGATACACATATACAGACAACGCAATGAAAGTGCAAGGGTAAGCTTATTGAATTTAATTTAAGTAAAACATATATTTCATACTTATCAAATACAGCAAGTAAATTCACAAACATGTACATTCAATTCATACAATAATTCCATCCAAACCCTGATGCTAGACCGACCGTCCGGACTGTATGAAACCTGTGTAGCTAAGGCGTCCGTGCACTCAGGTGGGGTAACTGGAATGCTCATCAGTAACCACCTGAGGTTAGTCTGTTCTGTCCAAGTTACAGTTATGGACTAGACCTCCTGCCATTCCCACGCACGACATGCTCATCTCTACTTGAGAACGAGCACTCACGGAATATCAGGATGAACCACCATCTAAGCTTACCACGTTCATACTTACAAATCTCAATTTCCAACCAAGAGTCGTTCCTCCATGGAACGCTCGTTCAAAAACCATAATCATAATTTCAACTCTTATAATGTTCGCATATCTTAATTCTTCCTCTTAAATACATTTTCATTCTATGTTCCACTTGCATAAAAAGACGAACGTTCACTCCCCTTCATAACGAGGACGAACGTTAAGAGCTACACCAAGAAAGACTCCTTCGAATCAGTTAAATGAACTGATTCCAGTACGATCCAAATAATACTTAGAAAAATCTAAGTTCAGTAACACTTGAATGAATCCAATGGATAGGTGAGATTACAAGTTGTTTAGATAAATAAACTGGACAAGATTTTAATTCAGGAGACAACTGTCAGTCAATGACCGAGCGCGAAAATAAGCTTTTAATAAATCTTGGACGAACGTCACTGAGGACTTGGACGAACGTCAATAGAACTATTGGACAAACGTTATTTAAATTTCCGGACGAACGCTATCACCGTTCGCCAATAATTTAAAGAAGGAACGAACGTTCGGTAGATGACCGAGCGTTCTTTATCACATACGTATTGGGACGAGCGTTCGGTATCAGGCCGAGCGCTACTTATCATTTACTCTTTTGAGGACGAGCGTTCGGTCTAAGACCGAGCGCCACTTCAGGACGTACGCTTTGGGGTCGAGAACTTCCACTGATTCAAAATCAAAGAGGTTCGGGATTTCTATAAGATAAGATACTTAAATTTATGTCGTACAATTTGACTAAGTGTTCAAAAGGATGTTATCAAGCTTCTCAATTCTCCCGCAACGCTCATGAAGTATACGTATGGCCGAATGCTCAAACGTAAAGCTATATAAGAGGGCGTTCGTCCTAAAAGGGAAATCCTTTCCAAATGAAAAGGTTCGACTATTTCAGGATTTACCAAGACTACCGAACGGTCAATGACCATATCGATACGAACGTTCATTTTCATAATCTTATATTTTCAAAATCACTTACAGTATACACATTTTTCCAGTGTCAGCTTTCATACATCAAATTACTCACATCATTATACAAATCCATGCGTTTTCACACATTAATTCGGATCATACTCATATACTTAAAATCAATCATCAAACATCACACTGCATACAATTTTACAGAACGTTCATACATCACAATAAATCACAAGAATTAAACTTAATAAGCTTCCCTTACCCGGATTGCGCGTTCGTTCTTCAAAAGGAAAACCAGATCCCAGTATAACTCTTCTACCCTTTACGTTTCAACCCAAACTCCTTAAACTAAAATTTCAGCAAACCAACACGGGTTCAGAGAAAGTGCATGCAGTTCAAAACGAGGCTTACATGGGGATAAATGAAGAGCAGTTAAGGACGTGAAACTTACCCGTTTCAGAATCCAAAACTGTTCGGTTTGATGGAAAGCTCACGGTGCAGGGATGCTTCTCACGGTGCTGAAACGTGAACGGAGCAAAGGATGGTGAGTTACAGAAGAGAGAAGAAGAAAGGTTTTAGAGAGAGGATGGAGAATTTAGGAGATCAGAAATTTGGGGAAGAAGATGAAGTGTTCAGAGGAATGGGAAGAGTTTTCCAGAGAAATTAATTTCTCTTCCCACGTAGGACAATCGTCCATCCGCATGCTGCCACTTGGATCCCACTATCATTTTAGAATGTTCCACAGTGACACTTGTCAGAGAGAAATCAGAGAATGTGAGTGCACATTAATGGCACAGCACGTGGAGGGGCGTGGGTGCATTAATGAAACACAGAGACATTAAATGGGGCGTGACAAGTAATACAATATCAGGTTATTCAATTAATGAAAATAAAAATATAACGTTCTTTAACATTTAATAAAATATAGAAAAATTAATAAAAAACTTAATTAAAATTATCTAAATTTATTAAAAAATTGAAATTTAATTAAGATTTTAATTTTAATAGGCAAAAGCTCAGTCCTATTTTACTCTGGGATGAAAGAACTTCATCTTACATACTTAAATTATGATCAAATATGTTCCAAATTTCCTAATCAGTACACTGTAGTTTTTCAAGATTATGATGATACAATATATATATATATATATATATATATATATATATATATATATATATATATTGTAAAATGAATTATTTAAATTAATAATGAATATTTTTATATTCAAAATCCCTCATGCATTATTTAAATCAATAATCAAGATATGTTATATCCAACATTTTTCCTACATAATTTCAGTGAAGTTCGTCAAACAACTATTAAAACCTTTACAATGATCAAGTTCGGATGAATTGCAGAAACAATCATTTTAACGCAAAGGAAATACATAAAAAAAGATGTGTTCATATGGAACCGATTGATCTCTAAATATCGGTATTTAACACCTCTAGAAATAGATTTTTTCTAATCAAATTTCCATGGGAGAAGCTCCTCGATCTCCAGGAGCTGCACCTTGATCTGGACCAGAAGCCTGGTCTGTGGGAGCATCCTGCTCGGTTGCTGGCTGAGCTTCTTCAGCTGGAGGTTCTTCCTCCCTCACAATCTCAAAAGAATCAATCAAATGTTGAACAGTTTCCTGATCTAAAATGTGGAATGGCTCACCAACTCCAACCACAGCAATGGTGCAGACAGAACTCCTCAGTTTTTCACCTTGCAAGGACTCCCTAGTCGCTATAAGTGCATCTTTGATAAGATCTTCTCGGGAAGAGCCCATGAAGTTATCAAAACTGCGTTCCAAATATGTCTTTGCAGCTTGAGAGCGAGACCCAATAGCAAAAGCCTGATATTCAAAATAGTTTCCACCGGGACAGTTGTAATAGAGGTGAGCTCCTGATTCATCTAATCCGGCCACCAGAAGACCAACTCCATACGGACGTTTCCATGACCGCTGTGTACAAACCTGTAACTCCAAATTGAATCACAAAAAACATTGATAAGTAAGATACCCTCTCAGTTCTGATAAATTCTGTAGACAATCCTCTTTTACCATGTAATTCTGCACATACAACCTCAAAATTGGCTCCAATACCCTCTTTATTGAACTTTCTAGGACTAAAACACAGCTTAAACATGAAACTTATTTATAAACACTTATATGACTATAAGAACGATAAATGAAATGCATTCACAGTTCTGAATTTTATCCAACATACAACACGCAATTCACTTATTTCGAATAACCTAAAATCGAAATTAAAGAGCGGAGCACTAAACGGCTGGTTCCAATTCCAACAACTAAAATGCACTCGGATAGCGATTATTTCTGTCCCTGAAAAAAAGCCATAGGTGGAAGGGAGGAGAATGAGGACCTGTGCCTTGTCGGCGAGCTGAACAACGAGCCTACCTACGGGGAGAGGGGACTCGTAGGTATAGTTATAGTTGATGCACTCGGATCGCATGTAGCGGGAGAGGACTCGGCCATCGGCGGTGAGGCCGGCGATGGCGACGCCGATGTGGTTGTCGACCTTGAAGATCTTCTTCTGGTGCGAGGAGAGTTCAGAGTTGGCCTTGTTGACACATGCCAGAACCACGTGCGTCTTGGATCGGAGACCAATCGCTGCAGAGCCCTGCTTCACCGCTTCCATCGCGTACTCCACCTGGAACAGTCGCCCCGCCGGGCTCCATGTAGTCACGTCCGTGTCGTACTGGTTTCGGAACATTCTCGATTCATCAACAAAACCAACCCTTTGCCCTTTTCTTCCTCCTCTTCTTCACTCTCACCCTCGCTCCCCCCTCTCTGCTCTGTGCCTTCAGTATTGGACAAGTTAGGTCACGTTTTGCTTTTGGAATTTCTTTCTGCACCTCCCGTTTTTCCCTCCACACCCTATATATATAATGGCTCCCTAATTTGAGACGTAAGAATCACCATACCCAGTAGGAGTGTACCGTTGCTTGATCTGTGAATGTGGTGATGGCTTCACTTGTTCGTATGGCTCGCAACCTTTTCTCCTCTTCCTTTTACTCCCATCTCTTGAAAGACCGTGCTGTCGCTCAACCAGCGACCAAGGCCATACAGAATGCTGTTTCACAGCCGTTGTCAGTTGTCAGGAACAATATCACACAACAAATTAAGAGCAAACTTAGAAGTGAAAAACAATTATTTTTCACATCTTCCGCGTCTTTGTTCAAAGGTTACAATTTCAGGAACCGGCGATTGCCAGTTACGAAAGCACGTGAGGCTTACGCGACGCAGAATACGGCGGTCGAACTTGCATTGAATTCTGTAGTAAAAGTTTTCACTGTTTCGTGCAGTCCCAACTACTTACTTCCTTGGCAGAACAAGTCCCAGCGCGAAACAATGGGCTCTGGTCAGTTTATTTTACTTACAGTCTTACGTACTGGATTGTCTGCATCAATAAGCTTCATCTATTAAGTTTGATATTCATTTATGCATATCATTGTAAGTTTGAAAACTCTTGAATGATTGTTTACAATATCTTCAAATAATGTTTGTTCAAATGATTGAGAATAAAGATTCATATTTTTCTTCCGCAAATATTTGAGAATAAATTTGCATATTAACTCGGTTTCTTCTACAAGCAATAGCCTACTTGTAGTGCTTAAGGAAATAGTTACAAGGCATATTTGGTCATGCTTCTCCATGGGCTAATTTTAGAAAAGAAAAATATGATAAAAATTTGAAATTAGCTTCTCCATATGCTAAGATTAGCTTATGCATGAGCTAATTTTAGTTTATCGAGAAGTTAATTTCGTATTTTCTTATTTGTTTTCCTGAAAGGGTTTGTGAAGAAGTTTACCCAAACAGTCCCATGATTGTTGGAAGAAACTTCTATTTCATCAAGGGAGAATTTGATTTGGAGCTTGAATCTCGAAAAAGGCAACATTAAATGTTTTTCCTGTTCTTCTGTAAAATAGAGCAGAAGTGTGCTTTGTCTCAAGCTTTATGCACTTTAGTTGTGCTAGGTGAACGTTACCATTCCCATGACTGGTGCATGCTATGAAAATGTGAAAATGCATAATGTACTTGCACTTCTTCTGTTATGCAAAATCAGTATCTTCATTTTTAAACTGTTAAAAACATGATTTGAGTAGTGTTCTCCAAGCATTTTGTTTCTCTGTAGTAGCTGCGTGCCCTTTGAGCAATTTTTCTTTCCAATAATTGTTATCCTCTCCAGCAGCTGCCGCACCCACCAAGCAATTTTGCTCTTTGGCAGCTTCTAACTCATCCAAACCTTTTATTGCTCAACAGCAGCAGTTGCCCCCACCAATCACTTTTGCTCCACAGCAGTTGTTGCACCCTCCAACAGTTTTGCTCTCTGGTAAACACTGGTCTTAGGGCATTTATGCTCTTCAACAACTTTGCATCCTCCGACCACTTTTGCTTTTCTCCAGCCTCAGTGTTCTCAAAGCAATTTTGCCCTTTGACTGCGCTGTACTCTCTGAACATTTTTTCTCTTTGGCGTGCGCCACACCTTACGAATACTTTTTCTCTTAGGAAACTGCTGTGTTGTCTGAACTGTTTTTGCTTTCTGGTAGCCACCGCACCAAATGAGCATTCTTGCTCTTCTATTGTTGCCATGCTCTTTGAACTTTTCTCTTTCTCCAGCAGCCACTATGTCCTTCGACCTCCTGCAACCAGAGTTGCCCTTTTCCAACAATTACTTTGTTGCTTGAATCATGGCCCACCATTACCTTGTGTGACCAGCTCCTTGGCATGTCATCTTCGTATACTTGCACCAAATCAATGCATGAAGTTGTCATCACTAGCTTTCTCAGCACCAACAACTAATTGATTGGCATGTCACTTAGTCTCTCAAGGGCTCTCATGGTGATGGCATTTGTAACAAACTTGACTCACGATACATATGCTCGAACATGAATTGGTTCTGTATGGATTTGATGTATATATGACTGGACTAAACTAAGATTGATTAAAATATAAAAAAAAATATTGATAATATTCGACTAAATGGCTAAACTGAGAAAAGTGAATATATTTGAGGACTAAAATGGTAGTTGTTCGTGAATTTGTTGAAGTATTTATGCTCTTCACTTGGCTTGTTTACTTTTGTGCCTTTTCCTTTCTCTAAATGATCTTTATGATGGTGATACAGGGTTTGTAATTTTGGGTAGAAAGATTCTTACAAATGCTCATGTGGTAGCTGATCACACCTTTGTACTTGTAAGGAAGCACGGCTGTCCCACCAAATATAGAGCGGAAGTCAAAGCTGTTGGTCATGAATGTGACTTAGCTATATTGACTATTGAGAGTGAAGAGTTTTGGGATGGTATGAATCCCTTGGAGCTTGGAGATGTCCCATTTCTACAAGAAGCTGTTGCTGTTGTGGGATATCCTCAAGGTAGCAATAGTGTATGGATTAACTTGTGTTACATATTTTGTGTTCTATTCTTGTTTTTGAGGTAGATTTATATATTACTAAGAATGAAAGTAGAATCTACCACAAAAGAAAGAAAGGACAGCACCATGAATAATAATAAATAGAATATAATATTAAAAAACTGCAGGAAATGTGAAATTCAGCCTAATTTTGTTACATCCATTATTTCCTAATCTATGCTTGATTTTATGATAGGGTATTCATTGCTTCCTGATTTTTTTTCCTGAATGTGGCAGATTTAGTTTCCTCTTTGGGACCAATTCTGTCTATAAATAAGTGGCTGCATCATTCAAAATGTTTGGAGAAATAAAATACTTCCTTCCCTTTTCTAATAGGATCTTTGCAAATTTTACATTGGCAGCCAAAGGGCGGCTGTTAGGCATGTAAATAATGAGGGAGAGTGGAATAGGTATTATAGAAGGAATGATAGAATATGGAAGGTTCATTGTAGAATGCAAAATAAAAGGAAGTGGTGAATAAAAGAACGGAAAAATAAGTGGATGCAGTGCTGTCAGTTGGGAGTTGGTCTATATAATTAGACCAATCAGTCCCTTGGAGGAGAGGATGATAATTTTGTAGTTTGAGCTTTAGCTCTTTGTGAAGGGGAAACCCTTGGAGGAGAGAGTGCTCTCCTATTTTGTGCTCTTTTCTGTCTATTCAATAAAGAATATTACTATTCTTTCTCTTTTCAATTCTGGGTTCCTATAAGTAGCCCATCTCCTTTTCTAGGGCTTAGGACCAACTATGAGACCATAGGAAAAGTTATATGGAAAAATTGCACAATGGCAGGAAAACCATATCTTCATTATTCTGGTAAAAAATTCTAAAATAAATTATGAGAAACTCCGTTTATGTCTGCAGTATGTGACACTTTCTCCAAGAACCTTAAATATGTTATTCCATCAGAAGGCAGTTTTGTACAACGCAAGAAAGAACTAAGTATGCATGTAATTTAAAATACATTTAAGAAAAAACTCTGGCCAACAAATCTACAATGTGCATTACTATTGGTCCTATTAAGCGTCGGTTTTAGATTTTCAGAGGGATTTATGCCAGTTTGCCAAAATGAAACCCCTAGGGATTAGGGGAATGCTTAGAGTCCAAAAAATGATTCATAATAAAATGTACCTAAGGACGAAGAAAATCAAGGTCCAGATTGCTCTCTGTGGTTTGCTTCAAAGCACAGATGAATTGAAAATATAGTGAAAGAGTTAGCAACCCTAATTCACCTGTTTCTTCAATGTTTCCCTCTTTTTTGCTTGATTCTTTTTAAGGAACGGGGAGGTTCTTTTAGGCCCATTTTTACTTCTCTTTCTCTTTGAAAACACTTCTCTAGCAAATAGAACAGCAAAAAGCTTTTAGAAAAGTGACATTACAGTGAAGTTATGTTGGGCATACGTGGCATGGGAATCTGTGAACAGTGAGCACTTGTAGCAGAGGTGACCAAACATTTGAGTTAAATAATTAGTGTAGGTGTTTGCTTGCAGGTGGTGACAACATTTCAGTCACCAAAGGAGTTGTTTCAAGGGTTGAACCGACACAGTATGTTCATGGTGCATCACAGCTGATGGCAATACAGATTGATGCAGCCATAAATCCTGGGAACAGTGGTGGCCCTGCCATTATGAGCAATAAGGTTGCCGGAGTAGCATTTCAAAATCTTTCAGGTGCCGAGAACATAGGGTAAGTGGGACTTCTTAGCCTTTATTTTTCTTGAGTTCAAAGCTTAAGATTCATTAATGTCTCTTTTTTCCAGTAGTTTTTATTTCATGCATACCAGTATAATTCACGAATAAGTTTATTAATAAAAAGAAAAATGAAGGCTGTTCTCTGAAACAAACGATATACTGCATTCATAAAAAGGTTCATTTGGCTAACAGAATCACAAAAGAATTATTCCTTGCTCATGAAAGAACTTGTGTAAATATTCATGTTAATGATCACCCACGTACAAAATGTTAGGAAAAAGCATGCAAAAAGGCAGGGAAAATTCATGCCAATGATCATGACTATTGGTTGGGAAAAAATTGTTCAAATGGGTTGGATAAATATTCAAACAGGCAGGAAAAATGGGTGGGAAAGAAAGTTACGCAAAAGGACTGAAAAGTAATTGTAACACACTCGGACACACATATATGTAGATAGATAGATAGATAAATAGACACAGCGATAGATAGATAGATAGATAGATAGATAGATAGATAGATAGAGAGAGAGAGAGAGAGTAGACTGTATTGTTGAAAAATAAATGAATATATTAGGGGAAGAAAATTCACTGTGGAATGATATTTTGGGTTAAAACTGGTTCTTTTATGAAACTATTTTGGGTTTGCTTGATTACCTTTTTGTTTCCACCATAATTTAGTTATTCTATATAAATAGTATTCAATTGTAATAAATTAGAGAAGGGGGAAACCTCCAACTAAAGGTGGGGATACAAAATCAGGACCCATCCGCAATTATAGTATTGATAGATTAAGCTTAGTTTTGCAACCTTGAGAGCAGCGTTCCACTGAAGGTCATGATTTGTTATCATGAGACACAAAGCTGAATAAATGATGGGTCAAGTTGGGTAAGGAGTGGAGTGGTGGTTCTTTAAAAAGTATAGAGATAGGAAGAACTAAAGGCTATGCTAAGAATTAGGTTAAACTAGGATAAAAACTGGAAATATCAAAATGAAGGGGAAGGACGAGGAACATTTTCTGAAGCCATGGATCTCTGCTTTTGATACCATATTGAATGAAAAACTGATTCCAACTTGAGATAGAGGTATGTAAAAAATGCTTAAGAGTGTTTTCCATCTCTCACCCTATTCATTTTTAGGAGTTCCTGGCATCAAAGATACACAATAAAGTAATGATAAATTCTACACATATTGGTCACATAGGTAATAAATACTATGCATAAGTTAACATATTCTAGGAAGTTAACCCATCCAATTAAGTTATTCTGACAGGGAGCAAGTTGTGTGATCCAGGGGGTGGACATCCTGAAGATTGTGGGTTAGTCATCATAAAAGACTGAATATCTGTATGAATGAGGGAAGGTGATGTGTTCTCAATGGAAGGTTCCATTGGTTGGATGGTGTGAGAGATTGAAAAGTTAGGATGTATATTGAAGCTATAGAATATGAGTGAACCACCTGGCAAAATTATTTGAAGTTAGTGGGTGTGGGTTGAAAAAGGTTGTCCCAATAGGGTAATGGTTGTAATGTTGTGTGTGAAGGAAAGGCATGGATTAGCGAAGCTGACAAAAATTTCCCCTATCCTCTATCGGTGATAGACATTCTAGGAAAATGTTGAAAAACCAGGTCAATGAAATGGAAACTGGAAAAGAAAAAATGCACAATTGAGCACTTGAGATGGACAGAGAATTTAGAAGATATTTTTTGGAGAAAAAAAGCGAACAACAAAGGCAGTCCCTTTTAAACAGAAGAAAACAGAGATGCTGCAGAAGAAAACTGAAACAAAATTAAAGAATATAGTGAAAACTGAAGAGTGTATTTTAGACTTTGAGATTTTGTACAAGATGAAACGAAATAATAAAAAAGATAGTAGAACTTTTATGTGAAAGAAAGTGAAAGCTTGTGAAATAGAGTAATTAAAATATGAAACAGAAAGAAGAACATACATAAAATAACAAGAAACAATTTACATACTGGAAAGTTTTATACATATCTATAAAGCTCTTCTCTAAATTTAAAGCTCATATGTTGAAACTTGTAGCAAGGCATCTTCCAAGTGCAAATAGAGCATCAAGGTCTGATAAATTGTTTTAGTATAAGATATAAGTATCCCTAAAATTTAAAATCCAATTGGTTTAAAAGGGAGAATCAGGGAGGAGTTATCATGAGCAACCTTACATCTTGTAATAGAAGCAGGGCAAATGTGTTACATGATGCCATTTACTGCACTGCATATCATCATCACGAAGTTACTAGATCATGTGTACAACCATACAAACTATCATCATGAAGTTACTAGATCATGTGCACTACAATGCAAACTATAATCACGAAGTTACTAGATCATGGGTACAAAATCATGCAAACTATCATGAAGCATTATATATTCTGCTTTTATGATCAAACATAAATTTTGCACACTAGATTACTTCCTTTCATATTGGATGTTACAGTTACATTATACAGATCCTGTAATAAAGCATTTTGTGTAGAAGAACATGGAACATATATTGGATTTTGTGAAGAATTATATGTTATATATTCTGCTTTTCTGATCAAACATAACTTTTGTACACTAGATTACTTCCTTTTGTATTGGATGTTGCAGTTACATTATTCCTGTTCCTGTAATAAAGCATTTTATATCTGGTGTAGAAGAAAATGGAAAATATATTGGATTTTGTTCTCTGGGTTTGTCATGCCAGACTACTGAAAATGTGCACCTCAGAAACCATTTTAGCATGAGACCTGATAAGACTGGGGTGATTGTAAGCAAAATTAATCCACTTTCAGATGCATACAAGATTTTGAAGAAAGATGATATTATACTTTCATTTGATGGTGTTCTTTTAGCAAATGATGGGACAGGTGTGTTCTTTCTTTTCTGTTCCCTGGATTTTCATTATACAGTTTTTAATGTATAGATAATCATCAAGAAGTCTTAGCCAAATGTGGCTCAGATGTATGTGATATGGAAAGAATAAACATGGCAGCAACTATCTAAGTTATTCCATTTATTTGAGTTCCTCTTCTGCTTTAATATTGCATGTCTGCATTGCTAGCATCAACCTGATAGAACACAAGGCTTAGGTGCAATGGCAAGGTATGAGACTTGGGAGTCCTCCCACGCTGAAAATTGTCAGAGCATACTCTTTATATTTTGATATTGAGGTGTATCCAATAGGTTGCGACAACTGTCATAGTTAAAGTTGTAACTAACTCAACCTCTATGTATGCTGCAGTTCCTTTCCGAAACAGAGAACGGATAACATTTGATCACTTGGTGTCTATGAAGAAACCTAATGAAAAAGCAATAGTCAGAGTTCTGCGGGATGGCCAAGAGCATGAGCTTAGCATTATTCTCCAACCCGTATGTTATTGTGTATTTCTTATGTTTAATAAGTGAATGATTGTTCTCAACTAGCTAAGAAACAGGATTGTGTTTATGGCCTGTTTCTGGTGTTTTGGTAATCGCTATTTTCAGAGAGTTGCATTTTTTTTTTCAATGCATGCACATGGGGCAGTGTTGATGCATTATTGATTTGTGAGTAGTGGTGTTTTTTCTTTCTTCTATTTTATAGGATACTCTCTTATTTGAGGTTGTACTTTCCACTCTGGAGTGAGAACAAGTTGAAATGATTTCTGTACTTCTTGATTGTTAGAGGAGTTTAACTCTGGTTTCATGTACAACCGTAGTATACTATTTCTTAATTTTGTCAGCCATAAACTCTGTTAGTTACAGTAGTTTTTTACTCTGTTTTCTTGTACAGCTGTAATATAGGGTTCTTTAACTTTGACAGGTGTAAACTCTAACTAACTTTCAGTTAGTTAGACCTATGTATATAAACACAGTGTATAGAAGAAATTCAGTTGAGTTTTCAATATTCATTCAGATAAAATTTTCTATCAAGGTTCCTTAATTATATGTGTTGATATGTAATGTTTCTTTATTATTATTATTATTTATGTATGAGAGCCCAACTATTAGGTTAGGGTTTAAGGAAGTGCCTTGACCTTTTGTATTCTGCTCCTTTGTACTCTATAAATACGGTAGAAATTGTAACAGTGTAATAAGAAAATACACTGTTTTACTTAATTCAAGTTCTTCAAGTATCACTCGTTGAGTTTATAAATTTTAGCTTAATTGAGTTGATGTACAAGGATTCGGCTGCAGGGTATGGGTCTTGAAGTATGGGATTCTATTGTGAACTTTATAAGGCTTTGGATTCTCCAAGTACAATAGTTAGCTTCTATGATGTGGTTCTCCCACTGTTATTATCAAAATGCTAAAGAGATGGCACTCTGTTTTATATAGAGTGTCGACTACTCATTTATATTCACGATTTTTACAACTTAAACTTGTAGAATCTTGAATTTAATTTCCAGCTATAATACTCACTGTAGTTTGACTGTTTTGTTGTATTCATAATTGATTAAGGTCCCTTCCATTTCTTCCATTAAAAGGGATTACAACCATTAATTTTGTTTTAACGTTTGATCATTTTTAACAAATGAAGGATGGAGAGTTTTATTTGAACTGAGATTGTTAACTGTACAATGCTGCAGTTAGTTGATGTTTGCCATTCCTCAGTTAATTGCTTTTCCTACTAGTTACATTTTTGTGTTACCTGTTGGTTTAAGAGTTTTGTTAAATATATTGCCATCAACATTTCAGATCCAACCGCTAGTTCCAGTTCATCAGTTTGATAAACTTCCAAGTTATTACATTTTCGCTGGTCTGGTATTTGTTCCACTCACTCAGCCATACCTTCATGAGTATGGGGAAGATTGGTATAATACTTCACCTCGTCGTTTGTGTGAGCGGGCACTAAGGGAATTGCCCAAGAAAGCAAATCAACAACTTGTTATCCTCTCTCAGGTAAAAAACATCTTTTATACTCCGATGAAATCTTATAAAGTTAATTTTTGCCATTTCTGTGTCTTTTATGCGTAATAACAGACTTGCAACTGGTGACAGCCAAGAGAGGGCATAGGTCCTCCATGCATTATGTCTTTCTTGACAGGCTTTTTGTGCTTTGTTCCTTTGCTTTTCTGATAGCACTTCTTTTACTGAGATTATAACAGTGTCTGTCTTTCTGAAGCTTATTGACATGATTAACACCACATGAATTTTACTTCTTTTGCTAGAGTAAAGAAGCATTGGTATATGAGGCTTCTTCTTAGGCAGCAACATAATTGTTTGTGCCACTTAATGATATTTATAATGCACTCAAATGGACGGAAAAAACTTTCATTTCCTAATGATTAGATTTACCATGTCAAATTAATTTTCAAAATTCAACTTGAATCGAAACATTTTGGGCCAAGGAGTGAAGACGTGGATGTAGAAAATAATTTGCCTGATCACCAATAAAATTCTTATAATTTGCCAAAGTTTTATGACTATTAAGTTACTATATGGTGCAGTTTCCTCTTGAATTGGTTTTAGCAAATGAATCAAGATATTTGGTTCAAAGTTGTTCTACTAATAATATCTTGTTTGTTTTAGGTCTTGATGGATGATATCAATGCTGGATATGAGCGTCTTGCAGAATTACAGGTGTCAACTTGTCTATGGTTAAGTCATTTACTCGTTTAGTAAATCATATAATGGTCAAACTCACATCGTAGTTTCTACTCACTGTAAGAATACGGAGTTTGAGATTTAACTAAATCTCAAAAGCTAGCTTGTTCTCCAATTATGACACTATTGATGCAATGGCCACCCATAACGAATTTTTACTAGAGTATGCTTTAGAACAGGACAACAGGACAAGCCTTTAGTCTATCCAGAAGACCTTAATGACCAAAATTCACATAATAATCGAGCACAACCTACAATAGACTTGCCTGGTGGGAGGGGAACAAGGTCTCGATTTCTTTAGATAAATTTGCCTTTTCACTTCTAGAATAAGGACAATAATGAATTACAAATTGTTTACATATTTTGGTCATTGTTTCTAGCTAATAATGTTTCCTTAAAATGAATCGTATATTAATTCCTGTTTGCTTTTATCTTAAAATTTTAATACCCAGGTTTTGAAGGTTAATGGAACAGAAATTGACAATCTAAAACACTTGCGCCAACTTGTTCAAAGCTGTAATGCAGAATTCTTACGAATTGATTTGGACGATGAACGAGTCATTGTCTTGAACTATGAAATGGCAAAATGTGCCACTTCGAGCATTTTGAAGCGTCACAGAATACCTTCGTCAGTATCCATTGATCTTGACACAGAATAATTACAATTCCGACTGACGTGCTCATTTTTAGATTATTGTGACTTCTACCTGATATTACTGGGTTGTGATTAGTACTTTAAATTTATTGAAACATTTGTAATAGTTGGTTAAATAGAACGTCAAATATTTTATATTTCTATTGATAAGAGCGTTCCTAAAATTTCTATTAAAAAGGACAGATAATGACAATACAAACGGCTATGAAACCCTTATGATGAACATGAATAGGAAAATAAAGATTTCTTTCAGTTAAGGATGTTTTAAACGTCTCTTACTTCAATTAGAATATTTATTTCAATATATTTAAAAAAGTCACACCAATTAACATTTGAGAAAAAAAAATCTTATATACATATATATTTTCCTTTAAATGTCATTAAAAACAAAGTTTCGAAAAATAGTTTTAAAAGTGATGATATCTAAAATGTGGCAATTAACCTAAAATTGTTATTTTAAGAAAATCATATTGGAATAAAGGATATATTTATTGCTCAATGACTTGATTAAAATATATTAAATGAAACATTGCGATCTTGAAGACCTGTAAATATAGTGATTTCAAAATCAATTATTTAATCATAAAATGATTGTTGTAAATTTGATATTGTTATTTAATTTATACAAGTAAAAAAAAGTTGTTATTGATGCTAAATGGTGGTGAATGAAGTGAACATATTTTTTCATATATTTTTTTCCTGCACTTCTATATGGTTTTCGGACATTACACAATATAGAAGTCATTTAGCTTTTGAATGATATAGAAGTTATTTTTTTACTTTCAATTGTATAATTCAGAAGTCTTTTCTTAAGGAAAAAAGAAAGAGTCTTTCACATAATTCATAAATCCTTTTTAGCTTCTTTTTTTTTCAGAAATGGAATGCTAGAAAGTAAAGGTAAAAATAAAACAAAAACACTGCATTATTAACTTGTTGAGAAGAAAAATATAGAGCAAATTATTTCGATGACACTACAAACAAGAAAACATTTTCCCTAAAATTAGAATAAAATCTTTCTTCTAACTCTATTATTCCCTTTTTATAAATCTTTCCTTTCTCGATACTCTTAATCCAAATAAAAGATTCACAATATGTAGCGATCAATTACGATAAAAACATTAGTTAAAAAATGGTTTAGAGTTTCAACGTGTGACCCCACCCGAGAACACCTTCGAGATTCTAAAATTTTAAATATTTGCTCTTACTATCAAACTTAATAGGAACTATCAGGGGAGTATTTGTAATTCCTATATCACACTACAAATTATGACCAAATTAAAAATTTTAACAAAATTTAAGACTAAAATCAGTGTTTAAACCTAATATCCAACCAAGTTAAATGTATATATTGATCAAAATTTGTTAGCAGAGGACCCAAGTGCTGGGACTAGAAAAGACTTCAAACTCTGTGCTACATTGTCAAAAGAAATTAAAATTCTAATGATGAAAGTTGCTAAAGCTAAATTGAAGAAAAGGGTATTGGAGTTAATAAATGAAGATGACCAAAAAATGAGTGGGGGAAGACAACTAGCACTCAAGACGGGATGTTTGCTTCTAATGGAAAAGAAAGTTGGTGGTGGTGGGGGAGTTAAGTAACTTTAAATCAAATGAACAAAAGAGCTATAAAAAAAAGTTGATGCTCAAGTTGCATGACGTTAGGATATGCCACAGAGTTTTTGATATACCCATTTATCAATGAGCTAGACGGTGATAGAAATTATGCTAAAAATGTTGAATGAATGGAAATGATGTTAGTAGAGGATGTGATGTAATTAGAAGAAATATCTATAGAATCTATAGCATATCCTTTCATACAGCTATAGCATATCTGATATATCCTTTCAATATAAGTAATGGCGATATGCAGACACAATATTATTTTAATTGCTTGAAGATGCAGTTAAGAGGAGTTTGTTTCAATTGCTACAATACTGCTTAGTTCTTGAAAGATTATTACCAACAATTGGTATTATAGAGCTTTATTCTTGAAGAACCTGAGAGTAAAACCTAAAAGTATGTAAGGAGATTCAAATCTATCAACAATAGCATCACCGGTCTTCACGGGTGAAAATTATCATATTTGGAAAGTTCGAATGAAACCTACCTAGAGGCTTGAGATCTATGGAAAGCAGTAGAAGAATACTATGAAGTTTCAACACTACCCAACAATCCAACAATGACTCAAATAAAAGATCACATAAAAAATTATAGGGACAGAAAAACTAAAAAAGCTAAGCAAAGGCGACCTTTTGTGTTGCAGTATCACCAACAATTTTCACTCTAATCATGAATTTAAAGTCAGCCAAAACCAGTTGGGAATATCTCAAAAAGGAGTATGATGGAGATGATCAAATTAAAGGCATGCAGCTGCTGAATCTTAGTGGAGATTTTGAATTGCAAAAGATGAAGGAATAAAAAAAAACATTAGAGAATACTCTGAACAGCTTTTAAGCATAGCAAATAGAGTAAGATTGCTTGGTACTGAGTTTAATGACTCTCGCGTTGTTGAAAAAATGTTACTATACCTGAAAGATTTGACGCAACCATAACCACATTGGAAAACACTAAGAACCTACCCAAGATCACCTTGGCACAATTGTTGAATTCTTTGCAAGCACGAGAACAATGAAGGGCTACAACAGAAGAAAGATTTGTTGAGGAAGCATTACCGATCAAACATGAAGATGGTGGGAGATATAAAAAGAACATGAACAAGCAGCAAGCAAATGGAGTAAGTTCCTTCAAAAATGAAAACAAAGCTGGAAGTTCAAAGGGAATGTATCCTCTGAGCAAGCATTGCAGCAAGATGGGTCATCCACCATTCAAATGCTGGAAAAGGCCTGATGCTAAGTGTAATAAGTACAATGAACTTGGACTTGAAGTTGTAATTTGTGGCAACAAAATCCAGCAGCACGAAGAATATGCTAAAATTGCAAATGAAGGGGAAGATCAACTTTTTGTTGCAACTTGTTTTTTAAGCAATGTCTCAAGTGAATCCTGACCAATTGATAGTGGGTGCACCAATTACATGACTCATGACACGGAACTCTTCAGGGAACTTAGCCTTCAAAATTTTAAAAATTAAGATAGGTCATGATGATTATATTCCAGTAAAAGGAATACGAACCAATTTCATTGCAACACATGCAGGAAATAAAACATTTTTTTTATGTATTGTATGTATCTCACCTAGACTAAAACTTGTTGAGTGTTGGTCAATGATTAGAAAAAGGCTTTAAGGTATTTTTTGAAGACAATTGATGCTTAATCAAGGATGCTGCAGGTCAAGATTTGTTCAAGGTGAAAATAAGAGGCAAAAGTTATTCACTTAATCCGACTTTGGAGGAGCAAGTAGTTTTCTCAGTAAAAGAAAATGTTGCTGAGTTGTTACACAAGAGACTTGGGCATTATCACTACCAAGGGCTTCTCAAAATGAAAAATATGAAATGGTAAAAAATTTACCTGATTTTGAAGTGATTTCTAAAGATTGTCATGCTTGTCAATATGGAAAGCAAAGTAGGCTTCCATTCCCAAGAGCCACATGGAGAGCCTCAAAGAACCCTCTCCCTTAAAGGTAATCATTACTACATTATATTTTGTAGAAGATCTAACCCGGATGTATTGGATTTATTTTCTAAAATTCAAATCAGATGTTGGAAGCATATTCTGGAAGTTTAGAGCAAGGGTGGAAAATGTAAGCAGTTGTGAAATTCAAACTTTATTGTTGTTTCAATTGTCAAAGTATTATTTTAGTTTTAAGAAGCAGTTAAAGGAGTTATATGGTTTACTCAAGCTGCTAAAGTTTATGTGGCTGACTCATAAGAAGTTGGCTAATGGGAAATTAAGTCTTTTCTGCTTTGTAAAGAATGTTTTGTAATATTGTAACTGTATGTTGTAAAAGAAAGTAGTTGCAGTTCTTCTCTTCTGAAGATTTGTTCCAATTGCTGCAATACTGCTTAGTTCTTGAAGGATTATTACCAACACCTCCCATAAGTTACTCGGGAAGTTAGAAACCAAGAGCAATAAAAGATTATTGCAGCGGCTTTGAGAAGACAGGAATTGCAAAAATAAAAAGAATACGGAAAGAGAGTTGGGATGGATTATATAAATGATGTCCTCTAACAAGGTGCAACCGCAACGAAAATATCACTAATAGTAGAGTGAAAATTAAGGAGGATTAAAATTGCAAGATATAAAGAAGTTAACTAAAGGAGGAGGATCGATTACATTATACACAACAAGGGTGCATTGCAGATAACATCACATCACATGGATGGTTTGATTATTCACGGGTAGAAGTAATAGTAGTGTGATAATGAGGGAAGTGAGTGACATACAAATAGAATGCGCGTAACGAGAAGCTAAACATAATCGAATTCATCTTCCTTGAGATGGGCAAAGAACTTGACAGGACCACGACCTTGGACGTCAGTGACAAATTGAACCTTGTAAGGAAGATTGGCAGAGATTCGCTTACCGTTCCAGAGGCCAACGTACTGCTTGATCTCACCTTCCATACCCGTAAGGTCAAGCTCCGGAACCTTGGGGACGTGGTAAACCTTCACACCCACCTTCACCTTAACCCGCGCTCCAACCTTCGCCTCTGCTGACGTTGTCGACTCTTCCACCGCGTTTATGGCAACCTCGCACCGAACACCACGAACGACTTTGCTTTTCATTGCAACTGACAAAGGCATCTTCGTCGTCTTCCTCATGTGCATCATCGTCGTCGATGAGCAATTACAGTTGCAATAACAATTTGGAGACACGCTCACCATCGACGATGTCATAGCACCTGCTCTGAGCGCACTGCTGCTGTTCAACCTATCCTATCGTATCCTATCTTCTCTCTTCTCTCTTCTCTTCTGCACGTCCAAATCAAGGGTTTCCTTGTTCCCTTTCCTTTTCTTAACCTCGACCCCAAATTTTGTATAACGGATAAATAATCTCAGTATTATGTAATTATCTGATAATAATAACAATAATAATCTAAGTCACACCCGCGAACAGGACACGTGACCCATCCTGCAACACTCTTATAATATCCATATCCATCCATCTCAACCATTCTTCTCCTCTTCTTTTGAATTTTGTAATTAATTATTATGTTTATTCTTCCTCTTCTTTTTGGACATTTCTTTCCTAGTTTCATACTTATCATACCACGCACACCTCTTTTTCTTATTTCTTTTATGCTTTCGTAAATCGTATTAGTTTTTTTGAAGAAAACATTTTTATAGATTTTGGCCCTCTTACTGTCTCACCAATTTTCTTTAGACATTGTTCTTATTTACATCAATTATATATGGAAGCAAATATGCATTCAAAAGCTGTAATTTTATTGGGTCCGACAAAGACGTCTTCTCTGCACCAATGTGAAAAATAAAGTAACACTTTTCTATTATAATGACGTCTTTCTCTTTTAGTTCCAATCCAATAATTCTATTCTATTTTAGCAGTCAAATATCTTTTCTGTAGTAATTTTTTTAAAAAAAATTACAGATTAATTTCTCTTTTATTTGAGGAAAGGTCAACGGACTATAATTTGTCTTATTAATTAAACTGACTTCAAGAGACTCTTCCCGCATTGGAACAACTTTGTTCAGTAATTATGGAACCTGTCAAAATACTCAGAATAGATTCCTACTCAATCCTGTTTTGCCAAGGCTTAACATCCACTTCTAGAGCTGGTAAAACTAATTTTCTAACTTCACCCTAGAGTCCTTTAAAAAATTGTATCGGCTAGATGTAGACAAAATTGTTTCTTTCACGTTTTTTTCTTAAATTACTGTCTTACCTGGCTCGTTCACCACTGGTTTTTGCTGAATAATTAATGATCGATCACATTCCTTTACGTGTTTGTATTTAGGAAAACTTTGAACGTAGACCCGACAATATCTCGAGATTACACTATTCGGTGAAATCAGAAAATCAACTGACCATTCGAGGAAATGGTGATCATCAGTATATTCAACCTTCTTGCTGCAGGAAGTGCATAAATGAGCAGTTTTTTTATATAAAACCAAAATAAGGAAGACAGGTAAGCAAGCAACAACAGATACATATAACCGGACCAAAAGATTTACAAAGCTCAGCTGTTACAGCGATAAGGAATTTGCAAGACAAATTGGGTATCTGGACTTATATACGAGAAGGCACATGAAACTTCTCAGAACCCATAAAAGAATTGAAAAGAACTCAGTTATCATAAACGAAAGCGACCAATAAGCCTGCACTGCTCTGGAAGCATAGAAGAAATTACTTGTCCATTGAGTGCAAAAAGCTCACCATCAATACCGCATCCATTGTGATTGTGCTTCCCAGGCTTTATCCTCACGGACTTTACCTACAACAAATTACCAGGATGCACAATTTTTAACAGATACAGATGCTCAAATTACCAGGATAAAATAACAGCCAGATATGCTGACAAGGACATTATTCTAAGATACCCTATACGTACATAGTTCAAAACTAATCACAAATGTAAATTATAATAATCTTCCGAGAAGGAAGACAAAAGATTGGAATATATACACACGCACACACAGAGAATTACATCATTAGGTGGTTTTACTAGTGTGTAATCATCAGAATATATTAGCGTGAAAATGCAAATATTTCAACAGTGTCCACAGAGAAAACACGGAGTAAAACAACTACAAATGCAAATACCTTGACATATTCAACATATGGCAGTGAAAGATGTCGACCCATTTGTAGAAGTAAGAAAAATCTCAACAGCCTCAATCTACCACTCCCATGAACCAAGAGCAAATCTAGTGTGCTATCATCGTGCTCAGCTTTGGGAGCAACCACCTGAGAGCTCTGAACTGTTCTACATGCATGGTTACAAACCAGAATGCCAAGAAATCGTCCCTTTGACACAACCCATTTGTCCCCAAAACGAGGCACAACCTCCTTTGTAGATCCCATTACCGTGTCATCTGATGGTCCTGGCAATTCAATTGGGTTTTCCACATCCCAATTAGGATCAGCATCCCATTTTGGTTCAGCGTCCCAGATAGGACCAGGATCGGACAGTGTTGATGATATATCCTCTCTATCATTCGTTGCAGTATTGCCCCATCGAGTGGTATCAAGTGTTGTGGTCAATCCAGTCCATCCTTTATCATTCCTTGACTTAGATCTGGTTCTTGGCCAGTTTGGAGTTGTTGATAGAGGCAGCTGAGGATGGATAACTTCTGGCTCTGCTGTTACATTGCCCCTTCCAGATGATAGGCGTTTAGACTTTGGATCTAAACCACGCACCAATTCAGAAGGTTCCGTGCTAGCATGGGTACTACTACAGGTATCCAGGTCCCCACCAGATATACGACTTGGAGTCATTATTGAGTCAATACTTGAAAGACTAGATGCTCTGGGCATTCCATCCTTATTTGATCTGCTCATGATGTCAGTACACAGATCTGACATGTCAACTGCTTCCTTTTCACCTGAAATCTTTCCTTCTCTCTCAGTTTTCAAAGCTGGAAGATATTCAACTTCATAGCTGTAGCGTGGTAAGCACAGGAACTTGAAGAATCCAGCAACAAAATACCGCAGTGGACCAAAGCGCTTCTGATATTTTTCAGAAAGTTCCAACACTGAAATGTGAAAAATACATAAGACACTTTTTAAATTTGAACCTTAATATTTGTATCACCACATCGATCAACTGCATTCATGTTTAAATTCTAAATAAAGGTTCTATTTTTCCTTAGCACCATCCCATTAATTGCCAAAAGTTACTAAAGAAAAAGGACTTTAACTAAAAAGTTTATTTATATAAAAGAACCATTCAAGAGCCTTCACTTAGAATGGTTGGTTCTTAAGATGGTATTAAGTGGTCGAGAATTAAATCATTGGCAGAACCATTTTTCTAAAATTTGAATTTCAACACCTAGTGAGGTGTGCCTGTGCATTGTTTACGCTTCAAGGCAAAAAGGCTCTTGTATGGGGAAGCATGTTAGAGATAAAAGTTTATGACATGGTTGGTTGTTGACAATAAAATCAACATTAAGGCCAATTATGGCCAAAAATTCCCAATCCATACATGGTCTTCAAAATATAGAGCTAAGAACTAAAATTCGGCTGCTCAAAAAATGTAGCAACAAAACAAACAAAGGAAAGAACAATGTAATAAAAGCAAACGATTTCCCTCATTTATCCGATAATTTCTCCCATAGTAATAACTAAGAATGTATACATTGTGTTAGATATCTTAAATTATTAGATATCTTATATTTATCTTTTATCTTCCGTTACTTTTTAGTTACCTATCTGCTGTTACTTTGTTATTATTCTTTAGTTTGCATTTTGGGTTTAGTCCATATTTCCTTCATTATAAACAAAGTACCCTATGTGTATTTCTACACAAGGAAGATCAGTCTCATGTATAGTTTTCACTGTATTCAACACACTGCATTGACTTACCATCACTAACAAAACCATAATATGAGACTGTTAATCCATAGTGAATTGTACTAGTCTGAATCCATTCAACAGCAAAGACATCAGTAGCAGTAAGACCCCCCTGAAACAAGAAACAGAATTTATAAAGTATTAAATAAGAGTAAGATTTCTAGAAATCTACACAACTGCCGACATGGAAAACTGAATTGACATATAGCCAATAAATGTCCAACTATTTAACCAAAGGAAAGGGAAAAATTGGTCGGCATTTAATTCGTTCTCTGCACACCTCATGTTTAAAATTCCTCTTATATAGGTTGTAGGAGAAGAATGTAACCCCCTCCTCACTCGCACATAGAGTCATTTCCATTTTATGGGGATGAAATGTACTTATTTTTGCTTTCCTTTCTAACTATGACTAGACTATATGGTATAAACAGATGCTAAAATGGATAAATCAGAAACTGAATACTGGCAATGAATGAGTGAACAGATTTATCAATGCCTAATCAAATGAATACCCATACACAAAGAATATGGTCAACTTATATCAACAACATGGATATGAACCAATGTTATCGATGTCTGATCCTAACTATATAAGTTATTAATTACATACCCATCACTTACTCGAAGAGAAAAAAATGAAAGAATGCTACCTTTACAATTGCCATTGCTGCAGAAATCGGATCTCTGACTCCAAGAACAGTCCATACCAGTGAATTATCAGAACCAGCCGGTATGATTCCAATAGGTATAGATATTCCTTCCTTTTGATTGTCTCTACTAAGGAGACCATTAAGAACCTACAAACCAACAACGTCATATAACTTGCCCATCATTAATGATGTTTGTATGTGTGTGAAAAGAACAGTACTCCTACAAAAAGCACAACCTTTAATATCCTTGTTCAAAAGATGATGGGGTATAAAATACGCCATATTTTGTGCCAATATACAGCGCCTTAATGATTTGAAACAATTTATATAAATTATGAGGGACAGATAAGATTCCAATGAAAGGAACTATTCTTTATTTATAGTGAAGGTATACACGTTACACAATGATTGAATATTGATATTCAATACAGATATCACAATAGGATACCCTTCTTTCTTGTATATTCTAACTGATGTTCTCCATTGGATGATTCTAAGTCTGCTGATTGGGACAAAATCAAGGGTAGGAAAGCAGGTACAAATGAGGCTATGATTTTTTACCCCATTTTCTAAATAATAATATCTTCTTATCGAAGGAGGAAAGGAAAATTTTGGTGATTATCTCTCTGATCACTGATTTGAAAAAACAATGTGACTAACCTCAATCCTATCAAGTAGAGACAGCTTTATGAATTAAAAATGGGCACTGGGATTTTATGAAGACCAAATTTTTTATTTACACATTTAAAGCAAAGCTTTCTAAATGAGGTCTTCATTGATGACCTCCTAAATGACCAAACCACCTTAGGTGAGTTTTTTGTATCATCATATATTCAATAAACTCTTACCTCTCCCAAAAAAAGTTGTTATTCTATTCATGATCCTGTTTTTTCTTCAGATATTCACTTTGGCAAGAAACTAAAATCTCTTCCACTCTTACTTGACTTAACTACTTACTCTCAAATAAATAAAGGAGACTGAAGAGTTTAGATTTTTCTGTGTAAACTTGTCACTCCTTTTTCTGATTTCAAACTTGTTTATTGAAAAATTTGCAAGGTTATATCATTTTAACAATCCCCAATGTGATGACTGACAGAATGTAATTTACTCCATCAAAAAACATTCTAGGATCAACATTTAATACTTAAGCACTAGTAGTGCGTACCCTTCTCTTCGGTAAGAAAGAGAAATTCTTGGGGAGAAAAAGAATAAAGGAAGAAACAAGATAAAAACCTATTATGAAGCTTGAGACAAACTTTTTACAATGGAAGGTAGATTATTCCACAGTGGTCTCTTTGCATAGCAAACCTTCTATCACTATATGTATATGCAAAAGAGAGTATGAAGGAAATAAATGCTCAAGAGGCCATGGGACGTATTATGATCACATCTGATCTAACTACCAGCAAGGCAGAGTAGTGGAAGAGCATGCAAATTCTGGTTGGATCACATCTTGGATATGAGAGGAAAAAGTGTGGGGGAATATAAACAATCAGTGGAGCATTTGGAGCAATATGCTTGAATTCATGGATTGTAATTGGTTTTCTTTCTATTCTACATTAGTTTTAATACTAGTATACATGTATTAGACACCGCTGTTCTGGTGTCAGTTGAAAAGAAGATGTACACATCAGTCTCGGTGTTCCGTGTATGAACTAATCCACTTCCTACCAAAACAACTAATAACTCCACTACCCTCTTATTGTGATGATGAAAAAAGCCTTGAACCACTGGAATTTACACAAAAAGATATCCATTTTTTTTCAATTAGTCCTAGATAGCTTATGATCCAGCACAGAACAAATGAAAGGCTTACCTCATTGATTATTCCATCACCACCAACACAGATAATTCCTGGAAGAAACGCCAGAGAAGTGGTATAAATGAAGAAACATTTAGAAAGTAACAAAACAATACTCACCACATGTATAGACTAAAGAACAAAGATTTTACCATCAGGGCAAGTGCTGATGTCCACACTTGATGCAAGATTTCTAGCATGACCCGCACATGTTGTTTTAACCACCTCCAATCTAAACCCAGCAAGCTGTCACGGTACATGCCGTAGATACATGTAAAAAAGTCACATAATGCATTCGTGTATCCTTCTTATTGCATGTTATATGTAAAATAGTACAAGTACTTAACTATAATAGTTGAAATGTTGAAATCAAAGACAGATTTGACATAATATTAATAAAAATAGTAGTAATAACATCAAAGAGCAATGTGTTGACAGACAATGAGAAACTAGACATAATATAGAAATTACTATAATTACCAATCTTGCACAATGTCCTGCTGTTTTACACAGTAAACATCTCTAATTTCATGGCCAAATTTGAAACCCTAAAATACAATATGCACAGTACCACAAGGATGAAAATAATAATATATGCAGGACATGGAATCCAAGAAAGAATGTAGCATACCTTGAATATCGGTTCCACAATGCCATGGAAAACTTTACTTGAACGACCCCGACCCGATCGTGGGTTTAAAATTACAAGCATCTTAGGTGGAGTTTTACATCTAAAGAGCAATTCTGGAGGGGTGTCTGATTGAAATAACTCTGAGGATGCCTGCTTCTTTGAAGACGATAAAGGGTGAGGAAGACAATTCACGAAACACTGTTGATCTGCACATCCACCAACCCATTGCAGTGCTTCTTCTATGCTAGAAGCTACAAAGCGAAAGTCCTTGCGACTTCGTTGAGATTTTATGAAACAAGAAAGCCCACATGAAGCTTTTTTAAATGGGTACGAGTGCACTGTGAAATGTCTGAGACCAGCATTATAAGAAACCTGTTTAGAACATGGACTAAAACCAATTAGAACTTTTTTTTCCTAGCACCTACCACAGAAGTATTGAACCATCCATCTGACATAGGAGTAAATGCATTACCGAGATAACATCATCAAGGTGCAGCACTTGGGAGCCCCAAGCCAAGGCCTTGCTTGTTAGTTTGGCATCTACAGCATCTTGGTTGGTAACGTCAGAAGTTTGTTGAGCATCCGCATTATTATTTGTAGAAATTTTTCTCTTATCCAAAACAAGTTTTCCAGAGAAAACGACGTATCCTAACAAATCAGACTTCTCATCTCCTCCTCCACCTGCTCCAATGTCAATCCTATGCTCGAAATTCTCGCTGGTGTCCTGATCATCCGGACGAAGGGTAGTGGGGACACTGGACTTCCTGGAAGCCTTCACTTTGGCACGTTTTTCGGGGAAGACGACAGGAGAGGAGTGCTCCCCCGTTGCTATCTGGGAACACAGTCCCAAGCGTCTCAGAGATTGCTGAGGTGAGGACAGCCTTAGTGCCGATGATATCTTATTATTAGTATTAGTGCTGTTATTAGTACTACCAGTAGAATTCCGGTGCATATCTCTCATACTACCATCAATCACAGAAACACGCAAGGAGGAGAACCGAACATGCGCAAACGCATGACGCAAGGGCTGAGCCACCTTCTGTACGGGCAAAATTCCCGATTCCGGTGACAGATTAGAGATTAGGGTTTTTATACGGCACTCTGCAGCTCAGATCGCGAATCAACGAGTGGATCTGTAAGCAATGAAATTGGTACGTGTGATCCGAAGCATCAGTGAAATTGTCTATCGTAAGCTCTCTTTTTCTTAGTTGGATAGTCCGTTAGAGTTAGGTGATATGAACTAAATCTACAGAGAAGAAAAACAGGGGTGGGTGAAGGAGGCACGGAACAGGTAGAGAGAGGGAGAGAGAGAAAGAGTAACAAACCAGTGATTGAGTGGCAGAGGCCGGATTCGAAGGCAGAAGCTTGAATTGAAGGGTTGAACTGTGTGTGTCTCCGATGGACGCTCGCTCGGGCGCAACTTCAACCTCAACGCCACTTTCCTTTGCCGTCATCCGAGTGTGTCGTGAGTTGTGACAACATTTTTTTTAATACTAAACTATTCAGTCTCAAACAAACACAACACCTGCCACTGTAACAGCTCAAACTCAATAGCACCGATCTGATCCTCTGTTACTCCAACTTCATTTCATTACACCTAATGGAATCAAATTATTCCATCCAATCACTTTAATCAATATTCCATCCTCCGTTTACTTTCCATCACTACTCACATTATATTTATATCAATTACTATTCCAAAATTCCTTCTTTTTATTTCTAGACTAGATATTATCACTTTCACTCAAAATTTAAACCTTACTTGCTTTACAATATATTAACCTTTTTTTCATTCGGAATTCAAAATAAGCACGATTTAAACCAACTTTTTTTAGAGAATTAATATCTTTATAAACTTAAATTGTCTTGTATATATTGCTAATTAGTCTCTCAAATAAAATTTATTTTCTAAATTTTTAATTTTAATTAATTAATTTAGCAAGGAGATTTCATTCGTTTTCTTTTGGTTTAACCCTTCGTAAGATTTTTTTTTTCTGAAAATTTTAAATAGGTCTCTTACTTTTTTTTTGTTTTAATTGAGTCTTTATTTTTGCAAAATTGTTCTAATTAGAGTCTTAATGTTAAATTGGACTCACGCAGTTAGATTGTTGATGTGACATGCTGATGGTATTTTTTTCAATGACGTAGCTTAGTTATTTTGTTAATTAAATTATTCTCACGTGTATATTACCATTTTTAATTAAAGATATTGGGAGAAAATTGAATTAAAATCAGACCAATTTCTTCGAATTAAAGATTGCGGAAAAGAGAGTCAAACTTCGTTCTTTGAATTAGGGTTCCTTGGGATGAAATTTGGAATCAATTGCAGATGACCCGTTCATGTTCGCGATTGGGGTTTCGCATCTCTCACAATTCTCAGAAGGGGGTTTCTCTCGTGGTCTCTCGTTCTTCTTTTGGTTGTAGGCTATGCGAATGGAGGAGAGGGACGTGTTTAGAGCTTCCATGGCACGATGAAGACGAATGTGGCTCGCAAGTTAGGATTTCTCGATTTGGTTTGTTGATTTTGGACTTCGTGATTTAGGTCTAAAGAAGATGATGAAATGTGATTCTGCGATTCTGGTTTTGTTTTCGGGTTCCTACTGGTTTCTTGTAGGTTTTGTTGGCTTATGAAGGCGCAATTTCTCCGACTAAGGCAAGGCTTTCTGGAAATTTGGGTTGCGATGTTGGTTCAATGGAGAAGATGAAGATTTATGCGATTTAGGATTTCTTCGAATTAGGATTTTTGTTTTCTGAGTTTTGAGATTATGGGTTTGCAAGTCTTCATGGAGGCGCAATCTTGGAGCAATAGTTGCATGAATGTGGATTAGGGATGGTGATGTGCGATTTTGTGGTGACTAGTAGTGGTGATTTTGGTAGCTTGTAGTAGTGTGAGGCTTGCGATGAAGACGAACTAGTGTTGCATGGTTTCTTTTCGCAGTTTTTAATTCGAAGAAAGTCCTAAGTTTAATTAAAAAATTTATCAATTTCTTTAATTAAAGATTATTAATATACACGTCAGAATCACCAAAACGAAATAACTGCCTACGTCAATTAAAAATTGCACCATCAGCATGTCACGTCAACATCACTCTAACAGTGCTGGCCCAATTTAACGGCAGAGCTTTAATTGGAGCAATTTTGCAAAACTGATAATCCATTTGACACGAAAAAAAAAAAGAAGTACTCAGCCAAAAAAAGGATCTGGTGAAGATTAAACTTTTCCATTTTTTTTCTATTAAGTCTTGTTAATGAATTTCTCAAAATATATTTTAAGAATTGTTTCGTGAGTGGAGGAAAATATTAAAGTCCAACTATTCGTCTTCCAATTCTTCACATATAAATCCAAGTCTTTTTCGGTCTGTCGAGTCCCTTGTACATCAAGGATGACACCTACAGAAAATACTCCAATGTCAAAGTCAGATTAATTTAGGCATAAAGCAATGAATGTTGTAATTAATGTGTAGCTCACTTCCTTACTACAAACCACTATTTAAAGATTTTGTCATGGTTTTTTTTTATTAAAACTAGTCTAATTATGCCCAAACATGACTAATCTTGATTTAACCTTTAAGTGAAATGGTTTTGGAGTTTATCTTCTTTAGTTTGGTTTAGACTGCCTCGTTTGGTGAATGGTCATCTGATTTGTTGTTTGGCTGTATAGTTTGTTGTCTAACTGTCCAGTTTGGTGATTGACCATTCAATAAATTGGTTGATTGTCTAGGTTGGTGACTTATCATCAAGTTTGTTGGTTGACCATTCGAGTTGGTGACTTTTCGTTCGATCTGTTGTTAATTGTCGTTTGGTCCATTGGTTGACCATAATGACTTGTATTATATTCTATTGGTTGATCATTCAAATTGACTGTTCGGGGTTGATTATTTGTCGTCTGGTGTATTGGTCAACGAGCTAGAAACGATAGATGCCATTGTAGCGCTCAACACTTAAGTGACATAATTAAGCCTCAAGGTGTCTTCAAGTGTCGGAGTAATAGCTAACCAATTAAAGAAGGAGTTGTTTAAGGCTCAATTAGATTTGGAGCAAGCATTGTAGGCCAATGCTAAATTAAATTCTAAGTTAAAGGACGTCATTCATACTCACTCTAACTGCCAAATAGCTCAAAAGGAATTGGAAGCTCGATTGGCTAATTTTGAAGCAATCGAGACACATTTAAGTGAGTTAAACCTTTGGTTACAATGTTAAGTTGATGATTTGTGGCTTGATTGTGAAAGGAGAAAGAAGATAGTGAAAGGTTCTTTAGATGTGGTCTGCATGTGGTTTAGGTTCTTTGGAACTCGTCTTTAACCATGTTTAAGTTAAGTTGTTAAATTTTAGTGTGATGGGGTTCTTTGCAACTCACCCTTCACCAATTGTTTAAGTTAAACTGTGCGGTAGGGGCTTTTTGAAAAACTCTTCCTTAACCCTTATAATTAGACCGTATGGTAAGAATTCTTTGCATATGGACTTCAACCATTTTTAATGTGAGTGGTTTGGCAGGGGTTCTTTTCATAATTCTTCCTTANTCCATTTTTTTTCTATTAAGTCTTGTTAATGAATTTCTCAAAATATATTTTAAGAATTGTTTCGTGAGTGGAGGAAAATATTAAAGTCCAACTATTCGTCTTCCAATTCTTCACATATAAATCCAAGTCTTTTTCGGTCTGTCGAGTCCCTTGTACATCAAGGATGACACCTACAGAAAATACTCCAATGTCAAAGTCAGATTAATTTAGGCATAAAGCAATGAATGTTGTAATTAATGTGTAGCTCACTTCCTTACTACAAACCACTATTTAAAGATTTTGTCATGGTTTTTTTTTATTAAAACTAGTCTAATTATGCCCAAACATGACTAATCTTGATTTAACCTTTAAGTGAAATGGTTTTGGAGTTTATCTTCTTTAGTTTGGTTTAGACTGCCTCGTTTGGTGAATGGTCATCTGATTTGTTGTTTGGCTGTATAGTTTGTTGTCTAACTGTCCAGTTTGGTGATTGACCATTCAATAAATTGGTTGATTGTCTAGGTTGGTGACTTATCATCAAGTTTGTTGGTTGACCATTCGAGTTGGTGACTTTTCGTTCGATCTGTTGTTAATTGTCGTTTGGTCCATTGGTTGACCATAATGACTTGTATTATATTCTATTGGTTGATCATTCAAATTGACTGTTCGGGGTTGATTATTTGTCGTCTGGTGTATTGGTCAACGAGCTAGAAACGATAGATGCCATTGTAGCGCTCAACACTTAAGTGACATAATTAAGCCTCAAGGTGTCTTCAAGTGTCGGAGTAATAGCTAACCAATTAAAGAAGGAGTTGTTTAAGGCTCAATTAGATTTGGAGCAAGCATTGTAGGCCAATGCTAAATTAAATTCTAAGTTAAAGGACGTCATTCATACTCACTCTAACTGCCAAATAGCTCAAAAGGAATTGGAAGCTCGATTGGCTAATTTTGAAGCAATCGAGACACATTTAAGTGAGTTAAACCTTTGGTTACAATGTTAAGTTGATGATTTGTGGCTTGATTGTGAAAGGAGAAAGAAGATAGTGAAAGGTTCTTTAGATGTGGTCTGCATGTGGTTTAGGTTCTTTGGAACTCGTCTTTAACCATGTTTAAGTTAAGTTGTTAAATTTTAGTGTGATGGGGTTCTTTGCAACTCACCCTTCACCAATTGTTTAAGTTAAACTGTGCGGTAGGGGCTTTTTGAAAAACTCTTCCTTAACCCTTATAATTAGACCGTATGGTAAGAATTCTTTGCATATGGACTTCAACCATTTTTAATGTGAGTGGTTTGGCAGGGGTTCTTTTCATAATTCTTCCTTATTCGATCGCTTATGACACAACAAGGGTACTTTCCAAAACACTTCCTTAACTGTTTGACTACTCCATCGACATGGGGTTAGGTAGAACGCTTCCTTGACCAATGGGCTAAAGGATGCGGTAGGGATTCATTTTGGTGAACACTTCCTTAACCAACCTGGTGATTAGTTCAATAGGAATTCGTTGGAAGAACTCTTCCTTAAACATCCGAATGAATCTTTGTGGCATGAGAATAGGAACCCCATACATTGTCCAAACATGTCGATTGGTTGAGGTTGAATGGTCGAGCCGAATGATCGAGGCCGAATGACCAAGACGAACAATTAAGGCCAAATGACCAAGGTGTCAAGATTGAAGAGACGACATAATTTGAGGGCGAGTGGAATAGTTGAGGTCATATAAGGCCAAGATGAACGATTAAGGCCAAATGACCGAGTTGTCAAGACTGAAAAGTAGATAAGTTAAGGTTGAAGTTGAATGACAGAGTAATTAAGACTGAAAAATCGACATGTTGAGTCTAAAGTTGAAGTCGAAAGATTGAGGTCAAATGAGGCCAAGACAAATGGTTGAGGCTAAAGGATCGAGATGTTAGTGTTGAAAAGTCGATAAATTGGGCTGAAAGAGGCTAAGATGCAGTTGTGGTCGAACAAATGAGTTGTTGAAGCCAAAAGAGGTTAAGATGATGAAGTTGAATGATGTTGTGTTGAATTTGAACAACAAGTGATCAAGAACGAAAGGTCAAGATGTTGAAGCCAAATGAGGTAGGGTTGATGAAGTCAAATGAGACTCTTTTGAGGTCGAATGACCAGGCAGTCTTGATGAAACGATCGAGATGTTAAAGC